GTGCGCGTACTATAGTTTTAATTTGAGAAACAATGTATTGTACTTACAATTCCAGCTTACAGCTCCTCTAGAAAACAAAGTTATTCACGTCAATCTAGAAAAAAGTTATCTATGTAAAAAATAAAAAAGCATAATACAACAAAGCCAATGGAAGAAGCTACATAGCAAGTCAAATTTTTTAGAAAAATGTAAAACTTCTGGAAAAATTAAGAAAAATTTTTTATGTAAAGGAATAAGCAAACTCCAAATCATTATTGAAGATTAGCAATGTTCTGTCTAGTGATATTTTCCTCTATGATTTGAAGATAGTTAAATAATAGATTAAATAAGGAACAATATGTTGCATAGTGACAACAGTTAACGCTCTAGAAGAAGTTGAACATTTCCATATTTTTACATAGATTTTGAGTTGAAAAAGAGTAATGGTACCAAAATTAAATCTCACTACATCAGACTATGCCTTTTATATATGAATTTATTGATTGTCTTTAAGATCTTTAGAATTAAAGGATTAAAAGTGTTTAATTATATTGTTTTAATGTAGTTGTTTATGTGCTTGTTGTACAATAGTGTCACTTATTTAAGTTTCTAAGCATTGCATGTTTATTATACTATAAAATATTGTATAGAAAATTCGTCATATCCAAGATAGGAAAGTTTATATAATTACATACAGTGTATCTTAAAAATAAACTTATGTAACACAACATTGAAGATACTGAAAATTTTCTATACAAAAATCTCTGTAAATGAAAACAACAGATTATTTCTTTGGTAGCAGTAAATTTATTGCCAGAAGACAATTGTTATTTCTTTGCAAAATTTTCGTTAAGATAGTTTTACTATCAAATGAGTAGTTTGGTTTGTAACAAAAAAAAATTTTGATAGTTTTTCTTTAAATTAATAATCTTTATTAAAAATTGCAGGTTATTTTTTTTAACTCACTATTGATTGATTTCCAAATATTAATTTAATTGGGCTGCAATTTGAAAAAATTTTAGACCTATAAATTCCCACTGTCACTGTCTGTCCATCTATCATTTCTTAATCTTGAGAATAGAGTTAGATAGATGGGAGCCCGTATCTGGTCTTGTCTTTCAATTAACTATATGCAAACTTCTGATGCAAATCGGAAGTCATGTTATTTCAATTCAAAAATTTTTCCCTGAAAGTTGTGAGATACATGACTGGCACGACTCATTGTTAAAGGGAAAGTATGACTTAACAGGGCAAGCCACCACTAATTTGAGGTGGAGAGCATATATTTTAAATTAAATAAATTAAAAATTGCAAACCAGCATTGTGACAATGTCATAAAATATTAAGACAAGCAATTATTTATTAACTAATTAAACAATGATCTGCTTGCATGAGATTACAATTTAAGATAAACTTTTCTAGTATATAGTTTTTTCTTGCTGGATATTAGTTATATGTGCAGTGTTTATTAATGTATACATACATTTTTTAACCATTCAGTTATTGAGTAGTTATATTTTTTTTTTACAAATTATTTCAATTTCCATGTCCAAGTATCTAAATTCTAATTTTCTGTTAATATAAATAAAACCAATAAATTAATTAACTAATTTATTGGTTTTATTTTTCTTATGATAAAGTAAAATGAAAATAAAGCTTTGTTAGATTAAACATGTAGAAGTAACTTTTAAGATACATTGCAAGAAGCAATGATTTTCGACTACAGTTAATTTTTATCTATTTTACTTAATATAATGCTTTCAAAAATAAATACCAGTAATTTATTTGTTAATTCCTTTATACTAAATATTTTATAGTTGATAGAAAACTAAATTTACAATAAAAGTAAGTAAAATGCTCAAATACAATTCTATTTTAGGCACAAGAGAGCTAAAGCATTATTCAAATAAAATTTCAACAATTGATCTGCCATATGAAGAAATTGTTGGAAGTGCAGAAAGTTTGGTTGGAAGAGTAAGTATTAAATATTAGAATTTAAAAACTTATAAAATCAACTGTCATTTTCATACAAAATAGGTAGTTTTAAGTGATGATAACAATAAGAACTTATAGTTCTAGTTCCATTCATTCTCAGAAAGATCTAATATTGCATTTTGTTAACACAAAATGATGTTTATAATTTTGAACAGTGTATTCATACAAAATATATTTCACTTAATACAATGTAATTAATAATTGTTATAATAATTAAAATATATATTATTCCAACCCAANTCAAATTATAAATATGTATCGTAATCATTATTTCACAAATTAATTATCTATTTGAAGAATATGATTCTTATACGGAATTTGTCGACATGAATTTTAGGTTTAAATAAATTTTTCAATAATCTTAATATGCCATTTTGGAAGCACATTTCATTTTTATTAATTACTTTATCTCCAAAAACTAAAAAAAGGGGAGGAAAGGGGATACAGTACACTTATATATATCATCGATAACTGCACAGTTTTTCAGAAGTTTTTTGGAATGTAGAAAGCACATTTTAAAAATTTACATGTTCTAAATTCCAATTCTGATGTTATATAATAAATAGTAATAATAATATGATGATGGTCATGTTATTGTTCCTAAAGATATATAACAAATATTTAACTTTAAAAAAAACAAATTTCAAATGTTTTGCAAGTGCTTTATATCAATTTTGGATTGCACTTCATAATTATAGTAAATTAAATGATATAACAATGTTTCTTAACCCATTAGTTATATTATAAATTTGCAAATATTGACTATGCATACATTTTAATCTATGGTAAATATCTTAAAAGATATAATTTTGAAAAATAACTTATTTAAATTGCAAATTAAATACATTTATAAATGTTATAGATTTGAATGTGTTATTTTGAACAGTGTATTCATACAAAATATATTTCACTTAATACAATGTAATTAATAATTGTTATAATAATTAAAATATATATTATTCCAACCCAACCCATACTCACCAGAAAGAATTATCACTAGAATCATTAAACACCTTTGGCTGTGAGTATCTCTACTATCCCAGATGTCATAAGATGAAGACTGTGGTAAAATGGGATGAGGCGGAAATAGTTAAGACTTTGCACTCCCCCAACATTGGTTCCGAATGCTGAAAAAATTGAAATATATAAGAGCAGGTTGGAGGATAAATGCATTAATGCAACAAAAGTATTCAATATGATAAATGTTTTTATCCTTATCAATCAGACATCTTTATGTTACATAAGCCTATTAAAAGGCAGAATACCAAACTGAATATAAAACTCAGATTGAATTTTTAAATGGCCGAGGTTTGGACAGTGCTCATGTCTGAACCTCGGAGTCCAGGCGTGCACCCTATGCAGAGAGCAAAATGTTGCTTTTATTGCTTTGGCCATTTGGCCATCTAACCAAGATATTAATAATATTAACTTATCAATAATAATTGATTTGAGTGACTGAAGATATTTTATGAATGGTAAAGTATAATTTAAGTTAAAATAGTAATTAATTAATAAAAATCATTTATTTTTATTCATTTTTTGTGATCTTTCACTTACAATTTATTAACACGATTTAGGTCCTTTATGAACAAGGTTTGGGCAAATACTGTGATGCAGATTTTGTGCGTACAGCACAGCGAGAATTAGCAGAAGCAATCAATCTCACTCAAGAAGAAATGGATAGAGCTGCCCATCAACTTCTTGAAGCAGAACGACGTCGGAGTATGCCTTATATGCATTTATGTACAGGCGTGAATTATGCTGATGAAGAAAGCAGTAGTGGAAGCCCAAGTGCAGAAGATGAAAAACTTAATACCACTACAGACAGTGACAATGTTTTAGAACAAGACAATGAAAAAGAAACATGTGTTAGTGAAACTGAAATTTCAAAAAGTTTAGATCAAACTATGGATCTCAGTACAAGATTATAGCATTTGAGGATTTGTATTCACAGATTCATCCACAAGTCACAATGTGTTCAGTGCCTTTTATATCAGCAGACTTACACACAACCATAAGAACAAAAGTTTCCTTAATTAACCAACTATTGAGAGAGTCACTCAGGAAAGAAGAATAAGATATCCCACAAAACAGCACACACAAGTGCCAAATCTTCTAAATTGTTGTGTGCGTCACCCTCTTCTATTTATATTAAATAAATATACCTAAAACATTTTTTAACCATTCATTGGAATTGCAGAAAGATAGAAAAGAAATTACTATTGAATATTGTATAAAGTTCTTTATACAATCAGTATTTAAAATGAAAAACTTATTGAGATTTGCTTAAAAATTTCATATTCGTTGGACCAAGTTATTTGAGTTAGTCCAAGTTTTGTGCCTCACACAGTCACCAAAGAAACTCTTCTGTTTTCAGAAATGCAGTCAGAAGCTTGTTGTCTTCCCCAGAATATTGATGTTAAAATTTGTTTGAAACAAAAGAAGAAAGAAAATATTTCAGTTATTTGTGCATCAAAGTGTTCTATAGCTAAATTGAAAGTCTGCTAATATACGATCGAAAATTGTTGCCTATTAAAAAAAATTTTTAAAAAGATTTCCACATTTAAAATTTATTGATACAATAGATGGCTACTATCTCAAAGAACTTTTTAATACATTAATAAACTGTATTTTGGAAATTTCTTATGCATTTTTATGTGGACCAATCGTAAGTTGTTATCATCGTTTTACGTTTTAGAATTATAATAATTTTGTTTCTTTTTGTTATTAATTTAAACTAAACAATACCCTATATGTTCAAATTAAAATTATNATGTTATATAATAAATAGTAATAATAATATGATGATGGTCATGTTATTGTTCCTAAAGATATATAACAAATATTTAACTTTAAAAAAAACAAATTTCAAATGTTTTGCAAGTGCTTTATATCAATTTTGGATTGCACTTCATAATTATAGTAAATTAAATGATATAACAATGTTTCTTAACCCATTAGTTATATTATAAATTTGCAAATATTGACTATGCATACATTTTAATCTATGGTAAATATCTTAAAAGATATAATTTTGAAAAATAACTTATTTAAATTGCAAATTAAATACATTTATAAATGTTATAGATTTGAATGTGTTACAATTTATTATTTGTTTTTAGATCCTTATGGATCAGCTTTGTTAAATTTGATAAAAAGAACCTAATATAATTTATGTAAAAGCGAATAGATATATTCTGTTTTTGTATTGTAAATTTATGATAACATTGTGCAAGTTTAAATATAAATAGTCTGTTGAGGGGTTGAGAAACACTGTTACAAAATGAAGATACAAAATCAAATAAAAAATATGTATTATTATTTTCTTTTAAATTGAGCAGTGCAGTGCATTCTTTATGAAAATAATATACATATATATGATTTTATAATGAATGTGCTTCCACAGTTTCAAAGACAAAGAACTATATATACAGTACAGTATATATAAATATATATATATGGTGCACTGCCTGTTATTTGTTAGAGTTTATATTTGGTCTTGCATATTTTTGTTGTTGTATTTAAGTTATATGAAGTTTTAATAGTAAGTTTTAAAGATTGTTATCTATCTTGTATGTTAAAGGTCATGTTGTTGTCTAAATTTTTTACAGCCTGCAGATAATTAAAATCATTATTTATTGTAATTTGATATTGTAATATATTTTATTTTGCAAGACAACATGTAAAATAAATGCAGCATAAAATAATTAATTAGATATTCAATTTTTTTTAAAATAAATTTATTGCTTTATTCAAAATTATTTATAAAATTGAATAAAATTGTTTCATTTAAATGAAAAATAAAGTAAATTGTGAAATTTATTTATATTTTTAATGAGTCTTTTCTTTAAAATTATCTTAAAATAACTGTAACTGTAGTCGTTCTATTATATTGTTTTTATTTTTTTAAGTACAAACACTTAAGCATTTAAACAATTCACAGATCCTGATTTTATACCTTTTCACTAAGGTAATATATTTTATTTTTTTATTGCTATTAATGATTAAATTGACATGACAAACTACAGTTACAGCATTACAAATGACTCAGATGTTTGCAGCCGAACACAAAACAAGTACAGTATCTAATTAGGTCTATACCAAATACAAAAATGATGCCTATAAGAAATCTTTAAGCTTTGTTGATGTTGGTTGAAGATGAGATAAAATGGGAAAACAATGTTTTTGTTAAAAAGAAAACAATGTTTATTTTACATTAAATACATATAAATTACCTTATAAGATAAAATATAATATAATATATAATAACAGAAAATATTTCAACTGAAATAAAATATCTTATGTATTTATAGCATAGCTATATAATGATAAAAGAAACACAATAGAAGATTATTATTATTTTCAAGAGAATTGCGCTACAGTCCATTTTATCCAGTTCACAAAGTTGGGCACATTAGCATATATTCCATATTTTCCTTCCTCTCCGCATCCTTCTCCAAAACTAGTGACTCCATATAAATACCATTTATTATCAGTTTTTAATAGGAGCGATCCACCACTGTCACCCGTACACGCATCCACTCTTCCTCTTTTATAACCCGCACAAATCATATCATCCGTAATTTCGTACTCTTCATATTCGTCTCTACATTCTTCTAAATCTACGATGGGAACTTCGGCTTGACGTAAAATATCAGCTCCGTATTCAGAGTTATCACGACGTTTCCCCCATCCCAAAATGGTTCCACGATTGCGACTGTGTAACATATCGTCAGATTTCGGCAGACAAACGGGTTTAACATAATCTGTGATCACGACATTATGTTCTAATTTTAACAAAGCAATGTCTTTATCAACGATCACGGGATCAAACTCTTCGTGTATAAAATATTCATCCACTTTTACATCTTGTTCGGTGCCGTCGTTAGCATTTAAGTTATATTCTCCGGCTCTGATATACATCTGTCTTCTAACACAATGAGCGGCAGTTACCACCCATTTCGGAGAAATAAGACTACCTCCACAGTAAAATTGTTTCTGTCTGTTTAAAACCGCGACCTAAAATACAAAAAATAAAACTATTTTATGCGGAAAACATTCTCGTAAATATTTTTGCAAATAAAATATACAAGGGAAATTTCAAGAATTTCGACCTAAGTTATTTAAATAAGAAAAAAAAGAACATTAATATTTTAGTGAAGTGTGAATAAAGCATAGCATGAAATTTTGCGCCCTAGGCTGTTGCCTAGTTTGCCTTAAATAATAATACGCAGGCCCTGTCTATACATAGAAAGGATTTTCCTTATATCTAGAAAAATCTATAACCTAACTTTTCTAGAATAAAATAAATGTAGGGGAAATTTTAAATAAAAGTAAATTAACAGATTTGGAATAATATACGTAACAATATTTTAAAAATAGAAATATATGTATAATTAATAACTTTATATTGTTTTACCTGCCAAGGCCAACTTCCCTGCAAAGCTTCTCTTCCGCCAATAATTCTTAAAAAAGAATCCTTTGTTGATAGAGATATCCCACATTCCTGAAAATCAAGTTCGTGTAAAACATTCTGCCCTATAAATATAAATAACACAGATGTTATATAATGTAAATGGATAAAACGATGCATCGAATCGAATTAGAAAAAAAAACTGGGTTACCATTTAATGAATCGTTATATTTATTGTTTCCGAATTTCTCCAGCTTTTTTCTCCAATCTTTCTCGCACGGAGAACTCTTCTCGTAACAGATAGCATTTTGTTGCAGCGTGTTACCAGCGCATGCTTCGGGTACAAGACATCTTCTCTGTCTGCTGGTGACGCATCTTACGTTACACGGAGCCCAATCGGACCATTCCGAATACACTGCATTCTGTAATTCCTTTAACATCTTAGCTTCGATTCGAACCCTACCATTTCTGGAGGAATCGGACTGCTCGCGTAAAGGTATAATTTCGAATTTTCGAGGGCAAACGGAACATCTCTTGGTTTGTCTCAAATTTTTTGGAATGCAGTAAGATGGTGCATAGCACTCTCTACTTCTCGCTTGTCTACATTTATGATTACAGCGACCCCACGAAGACCATTCTCCGTATATAGAAGTATACGGATTAGAAGAGGGTCGAGTCTGACGTAACTATCGGATTGAAAAATATGTTAAAATACGTATACAACATAATGCAATTATTACAAAAATTAAACTTACTCTTTGTCTTCTATTTCGATTATTAGACCGCCTGGCATCTACTTCTGTTAAGAGATAACAAATTAAAATACACAAAATGTACCAGCCGATCTTCATCTTCGAGTTGTTTTTCTCAAATGAGATCTCTTCCTTCTGCTGGGCTTTATAACTTGTCATGTCTAACACGTGTATTCGGTCAAATGAATGTAAGCAAAGAGGGTGAAAATCCCTATTGTTTGAAACACGAACAGATAAAGCCTTGGGTCGTACAGGTGTTCTGGGCGTAATTTCTTCTTTATGTTTATTGCAGTAGATTGCATTTATTACAGGTGTTTCGAGTATTAATTTTATGTTTGGAAAATGCTCTTGAAGCGTCGTAATAAGTTTTTAATAGTTATAAAAGCAACGGAACTTATTGTGTACGTTATGCAAATATAAAACCGAACAGTGAAAAATGTTCACTTGTATTTCGCCTATTACTTATATACAAGAAGAAAGGGAATGTTTATTTGAATGCGTTTTATTACATATTTGACTAATAGATGCAGTTTTATTATAAAAACAAAAGAGCTGCACTTAGGCTTTCTGTCGTGCTTTTATCGAAAGCGTGACATTTCCTTGTTTTCTGGTTATTAACTTTTAACACCCGGGGAGACAATCCATTTCCAGACTGGCACCAAGCAGTCTGCTCCACCTGGACAACACCTGCAGGGAGGGACGTGAAAGCCTGAAGATGGGGAATGTTTCGTGCGAAGGTTTCCTTTTAACAATTACGGTATTTCTAAAACATACAAATGGACTAAATCATTACGAGCATCGCATAAATTTCTCACATTTCTATGAAATAAATTTATTATAACGGAAATAAATTACTGTTGCGATATTTCTCGAAATAAAAAAATAATAAAGTGTCATATTTAAACTGTCGGAAATCATCAAATAACATATTAATTTAAGCATAAAAATAACACATCTAAAAAGTTAAATATTCGAATCTCCTGAGAGTTATTTTATATTAGAATATTCATACAAGAAAACAATGAAGATTAAAAAAAATCATAAATCAGATTCTTATCATTATTTCTATATTAGAATAATGATTTACAATAGTTTAAAACAAATTATATTCTTTAATTTATTGATGTATTAAACGTTAAATAAACGCTTCGAGTTTTCTCCATAAATAAATCTTTCACCGAGTGTTTGGAACAACAATTGTCGAATTTGCAGAAATTAATGTGGAGAAATGCGAGTTTAACTTCAACGAAAAGTGCAATTTATAAGTTGAAAAGTGGGTCACACCTGAAACTGGGTTTGGCATGTAATGAGGCTACTAACACGTGTATATAATTAATTTAAAACATCATTTTAAGGCTTCTCCATCGAAATTCCATCAATGATTTCAAAAATTTTTCACGGTGATGATAATTGAGAGAGAAAAATTATGATTTTAATATTTTATTATTGGCAATTATATACTTTCTGCTGGATAAAAAACCAATTCAATTCATTAGTTCCTTTAAAAAAGGTTAGAACCCCTGGAATGGGGGGGATAAAAATACGATTTTATTAAGGATTAATTTACTTTATCAATTAATACATCTTACATAAATTTATAAATATATTATTATATTAAAAATTATTATATATTTATATAAAAATGGAAATTATATACATTGCAGAGAGTATAGTATAAACGTATTGAAAATTTAATTTATTGTTGTTATCATTTTAAAAAGTTCTTATGGTTTTAGCGAATTTATGAAAAAATATTTGGTCATAATTTTGCTAAAATATTCGCACTCTTTGTAAATAATTAATCTTCAATTACTCTAAATAGTTTTAATCACTGATTAACAATAGATTAACATAGATTAAAATATATTTTCCCACTTATTTTCTATAAACTTTTAAAAATTGTTTATTGCGAATTACGAAGTAATCACATAATTTGCTTTCAATCTGACTTTACAAAAGAAGAAAAATTGATTTCGTGTGTAAAAACACGCTCTTCATTCCCTCAACTCGGACGAATAAGGAGAAATGCTATTTATAAGTTCTTAAAATTTGTCTAATGAATTTTAGGAATGATTTTTAAAATTTAAAACGATAATGGTAGAATATAAAGTTTAGAAAATGCTTTTCGTATTATAGATTTTACGAAGTTTCAAAGTTATGATAAAATTCGGGCTCAGAAGAGATCAACGTGGCCATTTAGTCTGAGCCAGAAACAGAGGGAATTCCCAAAATTTAGTCTTACATAAAACGTGATATGAACTTTGAAAAGTCATAAAAATACAGAACGTGTATTTTTATGACTTCTGAGATGGATAACCCCATATTTGTGACTGCTCAATTCACCTTTTTTTTCAACATCTGATCAGATTATAACAATTTGTTATAAAATTGAGATATATTCCAATAAAAACAGGGAGAACAAGCCCACGATTTATGCTTATTAGTTTACGTAAAGAATGTTTTATGTTCTAGGCACTTTTTATTTATTTATTCATTTGATTCTGGCCATAATGACGATTACCCAGGGATGACTTCTAAGCAAAACTGGCCTCTATTTAGCTGTTAATAACGTGAAGAAAACCCGGAAAATTCACCCACGATCAGTGTTCGGTGGATTTATTCACTAGATCAGTAAGTGGGTTCTAGACACAATATAAAATTATGTGAAAGAATATAGTTATATGTTTTGGAATTAATAAGCAAGTTTAATATATTGTACTATAGTTATTTAACTGGTGAAAGGTATCAGTTAAAAGCTTTAAACTTATATCATGAAATTTATACTTAAACTTTTAATTAATAAATTATGTAGCAAGTCTCGCTAAGGAGCAAATTCTTTTTTATTCACTAAAAGTGAATAACTGTTTTAAATTTGTAATCATCTTAAAGTAGGTTCTAAGTGGAAATTCTATTTAATCTGATAAGATAGAATGAACACTTTCTAACATAATTAATGTGATTTTTTGGCTAATTGATACTATTATAAATGAACACACGCCTCTTTTCTGTAAACAAAACGTAGGCTGTAGTAATGCTGTTAAAAGATTTCCTACATTCACTACTTCTTGGGTTGGGCAAGCCTAATTATCCATTCACTAATACATCCATTCAAACTCGTATGTCATCTGCATAATGGAACTAGTAGGATGCCACTTTCGCCTGAATTGACCTTTTAAGTATTAAGGTTTGTAAAAGTTCCATTAATTTGACACATTCGCACATATTTGTAACGCTAAAATATATTTTAATCGGTTTATTAACACTTTCTTGCTTTCGAATTTTTAACTAGAAATATATAATATGCATAGTAATTTCGGTTAGAACTCTTAATATACAATAAATAATAATATTTTAAATGTAAAGAACATTTGCCATCGCTTACAAGTTAACCTACAAACGTATTGTAAGTAGAGAAGGGATGGCCAACCGTCATCCCCGCGGGCCGTATCTAACTCGCCGTTTCAAATTGCCCACGCCTTAGATTATTGAGTGGTGATAAATATTTTTAAAAAAATGGCAGCCTGTATTCAATCTAAAACTTTTTCACTTCTTAAGTTCGCACCACTAAATTCAATCGAGATAGTTTATCCGTCGGGTCAGTGATGAAGTAGAAAAGTTCCCACCTGGTAGTTCAACTATTTAAGTAGAGAAACGTGGTTTTAGAAGGACGAGACAAAGAGTGTTCGTTACTATCGAAATAAATTCAGACAGAATCTCAGTATTCTATAATTGTTCACTTGGCTACGACGTATACTATCGACCGCCATTTTACTTTAAGTCAAAACATTGAAGGTGTGTGGATATGATTGTCATTTTAGATTCTATTTTTCTCATCTAAATTTAGATTGTTTTGTTTACCCCTATATTTGAGATTTAGGCAATTAGATAAGTTATATAAAACTAGATTATTTCATCTCAAATTTAGCTATTTTCTAGATTTTAAAGAAGGTAAGATCAGATTTTAAAGTGGTAAGTGAAGTACTTCACCCTCAATATAACAATATTTTTATAATCGAAGTACGAACTAGGTCTTGAAGGGCTTTAATCTAAGCCATATGATCATTTATTTATAATGTTCTCGAGTCTGATCCGTACCATACGTACTGTACATCAACAATCACGTCAAGAAGCAAATCTTCATTTTCTGGCAGACAGCTGGGACCGCGACATCACTGGTAGTGTCACCTACACTTTCATCCCCAAGGTTGACACTACTGCGATTCTTCGCCACTTTTACCTTAGTTACACCCTCACTCGGCTACTTACAGGACGCGGCAACTTTAAGCAATACTTGCATAGATTTAATCTTGGGGACAATTCACAATGAGATTGTGATATTAGGAGGACCAAACACCACTTCACTTAGTTTTTCGCTGCAATAGGTACAGTACAATCACATTAGGGATAGTTTAATCAGACGCTGAATGGTACAACTAGCCTTACAACCCGCATCAACTCATTCACACGCGTGCAATGTTCCATCATCTACTCGCATCCATATGCCCCGGAGTGAGTGCTCTCGAGAGCACTTACTCCCGGGCACGGATGGCAATTAGCTTTACCTTGCTTTGTTTTAACTGTCGGTATATAGCTGCCTTTCAACTTTGTATTTTAATTTTTTATTTTCAGTCTAAATTTGGTTAGTCCTAGTTGTAAGTTAGATTATATTTAAATAAAAGTGTAAATGTTCGTTTGTTCAAAATCTTAAATTTCCAAAAGTTCTTAACCGATTGCTTTGAAATTTCGACACAACGTTGCTTTCGGATACGCGCGTTTTTATATTATGTAAATGTCGAAATTCCCCTCCCCGCAAAGGAGAGGAACAGGATTAAGGCTTACTGTGAAGAACTCGGCTTCTATTATACTATTCTAGATGCGGTTTTTTTGCGTTTTTCATTGCGTTTTAATAGGGTATGTCAAAAGAATGTACACTAAGAAAGGATTTTTCGAAATTCCCCCCCCCGCGGGGAGTGTTATACATTTATAATAGATCGTGCCGTCATTGGAAGCGGTAGATGCGCCGCTTTCCTCGTATTTTCTAAATAAATAAATACGTATTAATTTTAATTATACGAAAATAATCGCATAATATTTTATTATAACCGCATTACTTATCTTATTACAAATTTCTATACTACACGTGAAAAAAAGATAAGATCGCTATTGTATATTCGAATATTAGTGGCGGAGTGGAAGCGCCGTATGGTCAGCATCCAAAAAGCTAGATTTACGCACGCGCTTTACAGAGCACCAATCTCACCCGGTTTAGCCGGTGGAAGCCAAGGACCTTGAATGGATGCTACACGTATACCGCATCCAATTACCGCCCTCGCCCGATTACGCGAATAACGAGTAGATTTATAACTTAACCCAACCGATAAGAATTTACTGGTACGTTTTTACGATAGTTCTGTATAGTTGACAGAAGTTTTAAAAGATCCATTAAAATTAATAAAAGCTTAACCGAACCAATCTAGACGAGTACAGTGGAGACTGGTTTCTTCGTATTATTAATGTAATAAAGACAGAAATTTTTCCAGTTCGACGAGAGTGACCGAAAAGTTGTAAATTTTGGAAATTTCCGTGGACACCTGGTCCTAAAACGAATTAGTTAAAAAACAAATGACTATTAAGTTTAACATATTTAGATTTTTACAGCTATGATGAGAAACGTTTAAAATCTACAACAGCCCTGCCGCGTCATTCGAGATATACTAGTGATGCGACAAAAGAGGTATTTGACATTGACCCTGGGGATTTGG